ATTGTGAATGCCCCAAAGAGCATTTCTGCTTCAGACTTATTGAAAAACAAACTTAAATTAATCTAAACTTGTTTGTCAAGGACTAGATTTTTCACACCTTTGAATTCAGTGGGACTCTTTAACAGAGTAAGATGCTTCCCAATATCCGTAAGTAGGGCCGAATCTAAGCCTAGTAACTGCTTAGATAAAGAGAACATGTCAAAATAAAACCAAAACAAGTATGAAATCCTGGACCCATTTGAAGTCAATGGGAATTTTGCCATTGAAACCAATGGTGAAAGGGAACAGGGAAATCATGGTTCCACTTTCTCTGATCAAAACACCAGGGAGGTGCCCCTCCTTTCCTTGGCCTGAGTAAGCAGTGCTCTCCTATGGCTCCTGATTTCCCGGACTAGTGAGGTAAGAACTCTCCTCCTCTTTCAGTATACTGCAAAGGACTTATCAGTGCTAACAAGGCTGATATTGGTGCCAGTTAAACCTCTGGAGATTAAAAATTTTAATGCTAAGAAAATGACAATGTCACACTCACATGATTACTCCCAGCTACACAAATTCCCAGACTTTGCAAAGTTGAAGGAATGTTAGTTGGCAGCTCATTACAAATATTCAGAGAATATGCAAGTACTTAGAGCTGTTTGAATGATCCTGCATAGCTCTCTTTTAGACTAATCCTATGGGCATTTCCTTTATGCTTCTGTAACTTTCTGCAAATTAAAGTATGTAAAAAGAATAGCAGGGCATTCATCATTTTGGCAGTTCCATTGTTTGTTCGTACTCACAGCAACTAAGTGCAGAATTCCTTTTTCCATTTACTTTTGGTGCTTGAACAATGCAATTGATATCAAACGTTACAGTATATAAATTGGAACATTCAGTTGTGTTTCATTAAGTGTCTGCCAGCAGCTGGATAAAATACCTTGCCTTTTTTTTCTGAATCTATAATCAGGACTTGCAGGTCATTAAAGTAAAACCTCATAAAGCTGGAAGTCTAAATAAAGGATACCAGAAATAGGAAACCAACTATATCCAGTAGTACCCAGAAGATTCACATTATTCAGAGTTATTATATTGTATTGGTTCTTTAATCTTATCTGCTATCTTTGCTCCTATTCTTGAAACTTTTTAAAATCTATATACATGAATTTGTTGTTAATGTGCATTTTTCATTGTTTTTTCTAAAACCATTTTATAAAAATGTATAGACATTGAAATATAAGTCTGGACATTTAAATCTCCACATATACTGGCTGTGCCCCCTCCAAGACTTTCTTTATTTTATTTTTTGGGAGGGGGTGTAAAATTTTGTCAGGGACTGGGGCTTAAGCAGTCTAGCCTAGTGATCAGAACGAGAATGAGGTTTGCACAGCAGGGACTGTGGTCACTGAGGAGGAGCTGGAGGAATCAGAAGAGCTAGGTCCCATAAGCAAGCATGGTATCAGGCTGGGGGGTCAGAAAGCAGAGAGCAGAAATAGTACCAGGCTAGAATCAGGAGACATGGGTAAGAGTCAGAATCAGGCTGTGAATATCCTACGTGTAGGGCGCTACCAAATTTGCAGCCATGAAAAGCCTGTCACAGACTATGAAATCTGCTCTCACCCCTTGATACCTGGACTTTTGTGTGCTTTTACCTCACATTATACAGATTCCACGTAGGAGACCAGTGTATCTCATATTGGGAGTCCTAACCCAAAAGAGAGTTGTGGAGAGGTCACAAAGTTATTTTAGCAGAAGGTTGCTGCTGCCTACCGAGCTGGGTGGCTGGAGAGTGGCAGCTGCTGATTGAGGGCCCAGCTCTTAAGGTAGCAATGCAGAAGGAAGGGTGCCTTCAATGCTGGCCAGCAGCTGTCACTCTCCAGTGGCCCAGGTCTGAATGCAGCACTGCTGCCAGCAGTAGCACAGAATTAAGGGAAGTAGCACTGTCACCGGTGTTCACTTAAGCTGTGTGGCCTGGCCACTCAGGACAATGCCGCCCAGCTGGAGTTTCACGTTTTCATTCATTCTGAATGGTTCTGGCTGAGGTATGAGAAGAGGTCAAAGTAACGGGGTGTGCAGTTCTGGCAACAGCTGGCTGAGCTGCACCAAAAGCCAGCAGGGAGCTGTATAAAGAGCTGGCAGGGACCCAGGTTGTGATAGGAGAGTACCTGTAAGAAATTTAAGTTACTTTCACCCTTGAGATTCTCAAAGTTATGGGCAATGTAAAACAAGGGAGAAAGCTGTAAGTTATTTTAAAGGTTACCCAGATGTCACGTATGAAGGGTCTGTATTCATTTAAGGCCTGATTGTGATACTCTTTCTCGCAATGAACATCACCTCAGTGAAACTACATAAGCTGTTAGCAATTTAAGGGCATTTTGAATGTGTAAAAAATGCAACAAAAATGTTTCCCTGTTGAATGCAAGCAACTGTTGGATTTTTAAATAGTTTCATTAATGTGGGCTACCTAGCTCCTTCAACCTTTTTTGGCTGTGTGTCTCCTGAGTGGCAGATGGTTGTTTCAATGAAGTTTTGTGATACTGACTGCTCTTTGGGCTTGTCTTCGTTACATTGTTAGCACCACATATAATATGTGTGCTTCCCCTAATTTGACTCCTGTCCACACATGAACGTCTCTGCCTTGAGTTCAGTATTGTTTTTAACTGTAGCTAACTCTTGCAATCAAGAAAAGCATTTAGTAGTTTATATAGATTCCTGAAAGATGCAGCTCTGAACACAATTTTTTAAGTCATGTGCAATATTTCGCTATGAGTTGTGTTTTTCATCCCATTGTCATGACCACTTGTTTTAAGAGAGGGGAAGGAAGGGAACATCTCCAGAAAATCACCCTAAGTTTTTAATTAATTGAAGATGCCTGCAGTTCCGGATTTATGCACAAGCTAAGTAAATTGCTATTATTAGTTGCATCCTTGCCTACGTACCAGTATATGTACAAATATAAAACTTTATTATTTCTATTTTCATTGTCCTTTCTGGTAGATTAATATACCCGTTTTGGTAATGCTGTGGGGCCTCTTAAACTTGATGTAGTTTAGAACTTAAGCATGTCTTAATCCAATCTTGGATAGCTGGAACTTTGAAATGAGGACACTGGAAAAATAGATTCCCACCTTCTGTGTGGCATTTCATAGTATGAAAGTAGGAGAGTCTTGTACCCATTATTTTAACATGTAATGTGATTTCACAGCTGCCACTTTCTGAAACATCCCACTATGGATTTTTGTTTGGTTTATTATTCCTTTTTGCACAAATAATATTGCATATCAGTGACTGCAACAATCATAAGTAAAAGGGAGTGAAAACCAGACTATCCATCCAGGAAATATTTGTATTTTACCATGTTTTCTTCCAAATCAGGATGAAGGGTTAAACTATTATTTTTATAGAACAAATAGCTCCAAAATATTTCAGTTCAGAAAAGTTAGTGTTTCATTTCAGCATTTTCAATCAAATCAAAATATTCTGATGTTCCCAAATCAAAATATTTAATTTTTTATTTGTTGAACTGCCCTGAAACATTTCATTTTGAAAAATCCATTATTGCCCAGTTCTGAATACAGTGTTCCTAATACAGGCAACATCCTAAACTTCTACCTGCCAAGGAAAGCATTATTCCCAGAGTGTATATTTAAGAACCATTTATTATAGTTAATAAGAAACAATTTTCTGCTAATTAAGACATCTTGAATTGAACTTTGGAGACTTTTGCTGGGACAAAACTTTTTGGATTGAGTACTATATAGAGAAAGAAACTGTAGATTAATGAAAGCAAAGGACTCAGATTTCGAAGACTGGGTGAAGTTGAAAGTGTTTTTTATTGTTCTTGATAAGGATTGGACTGGGGTTTTTTAATCACGTGATTTTAATTTTTAAATTCTTTTGGCTATGTTCCTGAGCGCATGGTGTACATGGAGATTGCATTTTGATATTTGTCAGATAATGTCTGTGATAAGTAACATAACAAGGATGAGAATGTCGACAGCACAAGTATATTGTCTCATCAAGTATGGTCATTTTACTCACAGTGGGCTGTATTGCCAACTTTCAAGCCAGCAAATAAGGCACAGTGCATCGTTACACTGCCCCAGAAGCAAGGGTAGAAATTAAACTGTCACTTAAGGATTCACAATTCGGCGCTGGCTGCTCCCTTACAAAGGGAATTAATCTGCACTAGTTCTTGTATTACTGCCACCATCTTATCTGTGGAGCAGCCAAGGTTCACTGTCTGCCTCTGACTGTCCATTCCTCATACTGGGAGAGGAAGAAGCTGCCTGCCACTATCAGATTTCCTTCCACCCTCTGCAGGGCTGGTCAATGTAAATGTCTGGGCAGGTGAGTAAGAGGTCCCTTTATTTCTCTATGCAGGTGCATAGCTATTTCAAGATTGACCACCCTCTGACCCTAAATTGGTCAAGAAACAATGACTGACTAATGTGAAACTTCAGAGGGGTAGCTGAGTTAGTCTGTAACTGGAAAAACTTAAAAAACAACAAATAGTCTAGTAGCATCTTAAAGACAAACACAACATGTCGATGGTGTCATGAGCTTTTGTGAGTACAACCCACCTCTTCAGATGACTGGAATAATGACTAATTTGAGTTGACATCTGCAGTTAGAGTTTTATATACTTTTTAATTGGTTGTGTTTTCTTAAGAAAATAAAAACATCCTCACACCATTGTTCTTGCATTATATTGATTTATTGATATCACCAGTTTTCCCCTCTGTGTTATGCTAATGTGTACATGTTTTAATGTTTCCATGAATACTTATGAAGACCTTCCATGGAAGTTAAAGGAGCCCCCATCAAGCAAATCTACATATTTGACCTCATTTTGCTACTTTTCTGCATGTGTATTCAAACCGATAACAACAATGCCATCATTTCTTCCTGAACACATACATATATGTGACACAAAGGCATCCCTGTTTCCATAAATGTGCCTACATTTAGGATGAACATAAATGATGTTTGTTTTTAAATAAGATTTCTGTGTACTGCATTAGGATGTCTAATGGGCGAGTCGTCAGATTTCCTGGTTTCTTGGTCACGGACTGATGATATCAAACCAGGGATGCAGGTACAATATGCTTTTCTCTTTCCACTCATCATCAACCCAAATCTCAACCTCTGAGACTGATCATGAATGAAGTGGGTGCTGAAAATGAAATTCAGAGCCTGTTTGCATAGACACTAAAGCATGAACTTCCAGTTTGAAAAAGCATGCTCTCATCGTAATTACTGTACATGCAGTGTGCATTTGATTGGATGATTACTGACAGGCTTTGGCTGCTTGTTTTCTCCATTACTGCCATAATGTTGTTCATCAGTGTCTCAACAGTGTTGTAGGACTTTTATTTGTGAGATTAGAGTCCTGTCATCACCAAGCCTTTGATTTTAGTCATTGTACCATGGGTAAGCTGAGCAGTTTGGGGTTAGAAAATGGAAATGTATTTCATTGTGTATTGTCAACTGTATCATTAGAATAGGTTATTTAATTCTGAGAAATAGCTCAGCAGCTTTTCATTCTTTTTGTGCCTAAATAGAAACACTTTTATTTAATCAAGTATGTGTGAATTTTCTCAATCTCTAGTTCTGCTTCCCCATATATCCGTTTCTGAAGAACCTTGTTTTCTTTTAACCACATCCTATATTGCTGAAGACAACCTGAAGTTAATTAATGGCTTCCGGTGAGGATAAACACCGTGTGCTCTGGATACCTTTGTCTGAGTTTCACTTATAATTTAGCTGCCTTGAATTTCACCACTGATGTTGAGAAAGTCTGAAGTGTAACCACGGGAGCTTTCTCTCCCAGGGTAGGGGGTTTCTGTGGTGCCTCAGAAACAACATAATGACTAGTATGCCATTTTTCTCCTTGCAGCCAGCGTAGGGAGTACTTTCCAAGGAACGGGAAATTCTCTATACCGCAGTGATCCCTGGATAATGCTTCAGTCTGTTAGTCATCAGGTTCCAATAATTTGTGTGGGAGGGCTGGACTCGCACAAATATACAAGTGTAAAGGTGGCTTAATGATACTTTCCTGTATATGCCAACTACCCACATGATTCTCATCCAAAGCTAAAGATCCATAATTTCTGCAATGTTTACAGGATGTTAAAATCTGAAATGGGAAAAGTATTTAAGCAGTCATCCTCTATGAAGTGATTCTCCTCTTTACACTCATGTAAATCAGGAGTAACTCCATTAACATGAATGCAATTCCACCAACCTAATGCTGTTGTGGAAGAAGTAAAATATTGATGCCATTATCTACAGTACTGTCATGTCTGTAGATTGCTTACTCCTCTTGCTTAATAGTTCAAGTCGTAAAAGATATAGGATTTTGTGACTCAAACAGATCAGAGAAGAAACTGTTGTTATTCATAGAGAAGGGGTCAGCTCTTAGCTGATACAGATCAACGTAGCCCATTTGGGGCAGGTCTACACAGCAAGGCTAAACTCAAAATATGATACGCAATTTGAGCTACATTAATTGCGTAGCTTAAATTGAAATAGCTTACTTCAACTTTTGGTGCTGTCTACACAGCAGTTATTTTGAGATAGAGCACTCTTCCCCTGACTTGAAGAATGAGAGTTACAGGTGTCAAAGTAATCAGTCCTCCAGCTCAACATTATTTTGACATTATGTCAAAATAACTGCTTGTGTGTAGACACGGACTATGCTGCTGTGTAGATATAGTCTGGATTGAAAGAATTGATGGAGATTTACACCAACTAAGAACCTGTCCCTTTTATGATAAACCATCTTCATATATTTTTTCAACATTAGTAGCATTTGCTATTACTGATCATTTGTTCAATGAAATACAATGAAATGAAATTTGTTGACCAAAGTTGATCTTTATTTTCATAGTCTCAGAGGGCTGGCCATGTTAGTCTATAACTTTAAAAACAACAAGTAGTCCTGTGGCACCTTATGATACTATACATATATGTTTGTTAGTCTTGCGCGTTCATGGGCACTAATCAAGATCATCTCATCTGAAGAAGTGGATTATGCCCATGAACGCTCAAGATATTATACATATATGTTTGTTAGTCTCTAAGATGCCACAGAACTCCTTGTTGTTTTGTTTTTAAAGTTGTTTTTATTTTGATAGGTATGTGTTCCTTTGTATGATTTTTATATACAGATTTAGATGCCTTTTTCCTGATAAGGATGTATTCTTTTGACTGCTTAGGGTGACAGAACCCTTAAATGAAGGAGAATGAGTTTTAAATATTGCAGCAACAGCGTAACCAATGAACTCACTGCGACACCACTGAACATCACAGAAATATGGAAACGACCCTTTTCCCACTACAGTTACCCACGTGAAAATGCCCCAAACCCAAAGGCTATGTCTACACTCATGGCTTCTTGCGCAAGTATGGCCATTCTTGTGCAAGAATCTGCAGAGCATCCACACTGCCCGCCCGCTCTTGCGCAAGGAAATTTACAGTACCTCATGGTAAGAGAGGGCTCCTTGCGCAAGAGCTATGCTCTTTTTTTTATCAGGTGTAAGCCCTCTTGCGCAGGTGTTCTTGCGCAAGAGGGCAGTGTGGATGCTCAGCAGGGATTTCTTGCGCAAGAAAGCCCTATGGCTAAAATGGCCATCAGAGCTTTCTTGCGCAAGAGGGCGTCTACACTGCCAAGGGAGCTCTTGCGCAAAAGCACATCGCGTACATGGCAGTGTGAACGTTTTCTTGCACAAGACTTCTTGCACAAGTATCCTGCGCAAAAAACCACCGGTGTAGACATAGCCAAAATGTTTTCATTTAAGTTAATACCCACAGAGTGTCAGTAAAGCAATATTCAGTTGTAGGCAGTTGGGACTGATGATTCCCTTATTCCCATGAACACAGCTTTAGTCAGTAGGATATCTAAGGCTTGTACTGCCCTGCTGCTGCATTTTTTCCCATCCAGAAGTGATAGACAGAGCTTGCTTTGGTTCATGTCTATGCTGACCCTAGATGAGTAAACAGATGTCACTATTAAAGGTGAAATATGACTCACCTTCTAACCATTCACACAGCATTCCCCGTTTTCAGAGACACAAGGGGCGAGTGGCCAAATACACAAATGCCATTGTATCTCTCATGTAGCAGCAGAGTGCTATCCTTAGACAACCAAACAGGAAAACTCACACAAACTGAATATGGATTTGCAGCTGCTTGAAATGAGTATGTGAAACCATGCTTTGAGAGATATCATTTGCCTCTCTTCTTTGGTAGAAGTTTCTGAAAGTAAGTGCAGAATATATTTTATTAGTATATAAGTGAGGGTGTATATGTTTGTTTTCTTCCTCCCCCAAAAATGTTTTCAAGAGCGACATTATTAATTGTCAAGGTTTTTTCCAATATTGAGCTTTTGCCAAGATTGTTAACAACAAGCAGAGCATATAGCTAAGGGATGTTTATTAGTCATCCCCCAAATACTTCACAACCCAGTTATTATCCTACTCTCTTAGCCCACGCAAAGAACAAAACAAAATCATAGAATGCAGAACAAAGTAAAAAGTGACTCGAAGGTTGGATGCACATGATGAAACCTTCCCTATATAATTAATCGAACAAATACACAAATATTTTCATGTATTAATTCCAGGTTCATTGGTGTAACACATACATTGTTTCCATGTGTACTAAGGCTGTGTCTGCACTTGGGGCTAAGGATGCAGTTCCCAGTTTGTGTAGATATACTTGTGCTAGCTCTCATCATGTTAATACACTAAAAATAGTAGTGTAGCCACGGTAGCATGGGCAGCAATGCTTGGTGGCATGGGCTAGCCATCCTGAGTATATACCTTTGGAATTGGGACAGATCTATATTCGGATTGGCTAGCCTGTTCTGCCTATCACCTCTGCCTACTATTTTTGGAGAGCTAACGTGAGCCTATCTACACAGGCTGGGAATCAACCTCCAAGTCCAAATGCACACATAGCTTAGACTTCCCCTACTCTATATTTTCAAAATATCTCCTTCAAGAAATGTCATGAGTAAGATTAGCTAGCAGGCATTCTGGTGGTGCACTATATTTTCATGTTCTTAATTATTCTATCTGCCATCTTAATCCAACTTACATCCAAATTGCCCTCCTCAATTAAAAGGTGTTCAGAACCAAAGTATTATTTCATGGACAGTAGGATTAGCTGTAAAGTCCCCAACCCCTCTTCCAAATGTTGGGTTTTTTTTATTTCAGAGTCCCAAAGCATGCTGATAATATTACTTACATAATTTGACATCCCCAACAAAACTTTGTAGGTGGCACACCGAATCTACCATTTTCTGTGGTGTTTATTTTATAGTATATACCTTTTTAAAATCTCATGTCTCTGCCTATTTTCATTCTCCTGCTCAATTTCATTTTTTACTGGCCATAAGTGCCCATTACTCATGCTTTTTAAAAAATATAGCTACTTGGCAAGCACTATTATTTTTCTTCATAAGGTGGCATGATCAAATGAGGGCCAGTTCCTCAGTTATTCTAAATTGGTGTGACTCATTAAATAACCTAATAGCAGTAACATTTCCTATATTTGCAGATAGATTTCTGTTTTGCTTGGAATGCGTGTCATGCAGTACTTTGAAACTAAATTGATAATTTGGCAATGCAGCTAAACAGAGAGTTCTGTCACTTGCAAAGTATTTGTTACATACTTAGTGCCGTGTGTTATGAAGCTGCAAAGATCACATTTCCTGCCCCGCTGTACTCAGGAGTCTGATTTTTAGTGGCAAAACACACAGCTTCAGTCACAATGATTATAAGCAAGTGTCCTGATCTGGATGCACAGAGTGAGAGAGCATTACAATAACTTGGCACCTTTTAAGTGTTAATATTTGAAACATAAGTACCTCTGACAGGCCTTTGCCATTACAAAGATAAACAGTGAAGCCGTCATACTCTTTAGGTAGGATTTCTTCTGAGTATCATTGTGATAAAGAATATAGAAGCAGGGAAGAAAGTCCATTCTGTAGAATAATATTACTGAGCATCATTATGCTTAGTTGGTTGCGTGTTTTCATTTGAAGATTTAAAATGTGTATTGACTTGCTTTTTACAGAAAGAATACTCAGTG